TCCCCCTATTCCCACTTTGCTAAGAGTTTTTATCATAAATGGCTGCTGTATTTTTCAAATGCTTTTTCTGCATCTATTGATATGACCGTATGATTTTTCTTTTTCTTTTTGTTAACATTGTGTATCACATTAATTGATTTGCAGATGTTGAACCACCCTTGCATATTAGGGATGAAACCTACCTGGTAATGATGTAGTATCTTCTTGATATATTGCTGAATTCTGTTTGCTAAGATTCTGTTGAGGAATTTTGCATCTATGTTCATCAGAGATATCGGCCTGTAGTTTTCCTTTTTTGTACTGTCTTTGTCTGTTTTTGGAATCAGAGTGATCGTGGATTCATAGAGAGAATTTGGGAGCCTTCCCTCCTTCTGGAGTTTTTGGAATAGTTTGAGAAAAATAGGTGACAATTCTTTTTTGAATGTTCGGTAAAATTCACTTGTAAAGCCATCTGGTCCAGGGCTTTTATTTGTTGGGTGCTTGTTGATTGCTGATTCAATTTCCTTGGTGGTAATCAGTCTATTCAGATTTTCTGTTTCTTCTAGAGTTAGCTTTGGAAGGTTGTATGCTTCTAGGAAATTATCCATTTCTTCCAGATTGTCAAATTTGTTGGCATATAATTGCTCATAGTAATTTCTTAAGATTTTTTGTGTTTCTGTGGAGTCTGTTGTTGCTTCTGTTGTTACTTCGCCTCTTTCATTCCTGATTTTACTAATTTGAGTCCTCTCTTTTTTTTTTGATGAGTCTGGCTAGAGGTTTGTCAATTTTGTTTATCTTCTCAAAAAACCAGCTTTTGGTTTCATTGATCTTTTGTATTGTTTTTCTGGTCTCTATTTCGTTTATTTCCGTTCTGGTTTTTATTATCTCCTTCCTTGTATTCCCTTTGGGCTTATTTTGCTGTTCTTTTTCCAGCTCCCTGAGGTGTAAGGATAACCTGTTGAGTTGAAATTTTTCTTGCTTCTTTAGGTAGGCCTGCCACTGCTATGAATTTCCCTCTTAGGAGTGCTTTCGCTGTATCCCAGAGATTTTGGGTTGTGGTGTTTTTATTTTCGTTTGTCTCAAGGTATCTTTTGATTTCCTCCTTGATCTCATTGTTGACCCCCTCACTATTTAGTAGCATGTTATTTAGCCTCCATGCATTTGTGAGCTTTCTGGATTTCTTCTTGTAATTGATTTCTAGTTTCATAGCATTGTGGTCGGAGAAGATGCTTGATATGATTTCAATGTTCTTAAATTTATTGAGAGTTGTTTTGTGTCCTAACATGTGGTCTATCTTGGAAAATGATCCATGTGCATTTGAGAAGAATGTATATTCCGTAGCTTTGGGGTGAAATACTCTGAATATATCAATTACATCCAGCTGGTCTAAAGTGTCATTTAAGGCCACTGTTTCTGTGTTGATTTGCTGTCTGGAGGATCTCTCTATTGGTGACAGTGGGGTGTTGAAGTCCCATACTATAATAGTGTTACTGTTGATCTCTGTCTTTATGTCTGTCAAAATCTGTTTTATATATGTAGGTGCTCCTAAGTTAGGTGCATAGATGTTTACTAGGGTTATGTCCTCTTGTTGGATTGATCCCTTTATTATTATGAAGTGCCCTTCTTTGTCTTTTATTATGTTCTTCAATTTAAAGTCCATTTTATCTAATATAAGTATCGCTACTCCAGCTTTTTTCTCGGTTCCATTTGCATGAAATATTTTACTCCATCCCTTTACTTTCAGCCTGTATGTGTCTTTTGATCATAGGTGAGTCTCTTGTTAAATGTGTTTAATTACTGTGACAGAGATGGTCAAATTGTCTCCCCAATATCCATTCTCTCGTTATTTTTTATTGGGTTATTGGAAAAGTCATAACATATTTTTCTATGTTTTTCATTGCAAAAGTGCCTCATGACTTTTCCGACAACCCAGTAGTATAGAATTTCTGTGATAGAAATATTTGTGATAGAAATAAAGATTACACATCCCAAGTATAGTCATATGAATAGGATCTGGTCGCTGGGATGGGTGAGAACTTCATGTGAATTTTTGGGTTAAAGAAAAAGAGCATGTCATCCTTTTTTTTCTTTTCCCCTTCCTTCTTGCTGGAAAACAATTATAATGGCAGGAGCTGGAGCTGCCATCTTAGACCCTGAGAGGAAAACTGCATACTGAGTATGACACAGCAGTAAGATAGAAGTTAGGTCTTTGTAGTGTGGTAGCACCATGTCATCTCTGGATCCTTTAGACTCAGATTATGTGAAAGAGAAATGAGCTTCGTTTTTTGTTGAAACTTTTATTATTTGACTTCTACTGCAGCATATTTGTGTTATCCTAAATGATACACTAACAGGACTTAGGTTTCAAAAATTGTGCATGTAAAAGCACACAACACGGTACATAGTGCATAGTAAGTGCTTGACATGTCTACACATTTGTTTCTTGCACTTTGCTTTAATGTCTCCTCCATCCCAGACACTCTTGTAAGTGTTAAGGTAGTATGTACATAATGGCTAAAATGAAAAACAGTGACAACATCAAATGTTGGTGAGGATATGAAGAAACTGAATCACTCATTCATTGTTGGTGGGAATGTAAAATGGTACAGCCACTCCTGCAAACAGTTTGGGAGTTTCTTTCAAAACTAAGCACTCCACTACCATGTAGCCTAGTAACTGCAGTCCTGAGTATTTATCCTAGAGAAATGAAAACCTACGTTCACACACACACAAAAGCAGTACATAATTTATTTGTTTTTGTCATGTAAAAGTCCATGCTGGTAGATACTCCAGGGGATTAGGGCAACTGTGTTTCATGAGGTTGTCCTAGACCCAGAGTTTCTTCTATCTTCTTATTCTATTGTCCTCTGTGATATACATCATCTGCCTGGTCAGTGTTGGCTCACCATTACAGTACCTAAATTTAATCAACAGGAAGGCGGGGCAAGAGAAAATGGGGGGTATGTAGTTTCATTTGATGACATGGCTCGTCATCCTGTTGACCAAAACTTAGTAAATTGTCCCTGCAACCTGGCAGCAAGGGAGGCTGGAAAATACAGTTGCAAGAAGTTGATACACCTGACTTAAATACAGAGGGTTTTATTGCTAGAAGAAAGTAGAGGAGAGATTGTGATTAGCAGTCTCTGCCACTGGAATTCACACACACACAGACATATGTATATAAAACATGAATTTTTACTTGAAGTTTTTAATGAACTTTTATTGAAGTTCATCATCTCAAAAATTAATTGATATAAAGAAACCACTGCTAGTTGACTTTAGTTTAACATATATTTAGTTTTCACTTTGCATGGTAGTTAGGGACCATAAAAATGTACAAGCTAAAATCATGGAAACTGATCATGGAAAGTGGGACAAATAGTTATGCCACACCTTTAGATATTTTTGTCAAAACACTAAAATGTGTCTTACACTTGGTATAAGTGTATATAGAAATGAAAAAAGTAGTAAAAGGAATAGTAAAAAATTAAAGGTTTTATTTGTAAAAAATATAGTAAGAGTAGTTTGAATAGTGCTTGTCTCTTTCTCATCATATAATTTACAATATGGAGAGTCTTTCCTGTGCCATGGCAAAATATTATACTCCTCTAAGTTTGAATCAGATTCCTACATTTTATCCCATACACTTGCTTTTTTATTTTTTTTTAAGATTTTATTGGGAAATTTGGAGAGGGGAACAGCGCTGGGGAATCGGGTAAGGGGACCAGACAAGTTGCTGTCCTTTTGTTCTTCAGTCTAGTTGTGGAGGACGTTGCTTCACTGGCCCAAGTTGGCACCATCATTGCGCTCTTCCCGGGTGAGGCAGATCAGTCGCCGGCTTCTGGACGGCCACTCACTGCAGCTGCTGTCTGCTCACGCTGGCTGCTGGCTACACACGGTAGCCCATGGCAACCCACTGCCACAGGGACTGCACAGCAGCCCAGCTCCAGGTTGAGCTGTTGTTCAGCATCTTAGCTGTGGAGGGCAGTGTCACTGGCCCTCATATGTGGGATCCGAACTTGGGCCCTGTGGTGTCCCAAGGCAGTTCTTAACCATCGTGCCACTCGCCCGGCCCTCAATTATCCATTTTTGTAAAATTTCACGTGTTTTATCTTCAGTAAACAGGGAGGCAATACAACTACATGCTTTGCTATCTATGCATGAGCTAAATATAAGAAATGCCAGTAACCAGTTACCAAACCTGACAAACTTTGAAAGAAGTGATGTGACTGGTCAGTGATCATGATCCTCATCTTTTATTTATGTAATGATTTGTGGACTGAAGAACTAGCATTGAAGTTTGTACTTTATGAAGTTATTTACAGTTATTGTACTGTGGTAACTGATATTTGAACTGTGGTTTTTGGGAACTAGCATTTTTAAAGAAATTCATGCATTACACAAGTGTGCGAAGTGAAAGCTGCCTATGCATTCATATATATACATATATGTGAGTGATTATGTATTAAATCTTAAGTAGTTAGCAGTTCTCCACTTTTTTGTAGCTATTTTGAAGTGTAATATACATATTGGAAAGTACATAAAACCTAGCTGTAAATTTTGCAGACCTATTAGTCACATCTCTGTAACTGCTCAAGAAATGGAACCTTACCAACACTAGAAGTCTCCTCTGTGCCCTCTTCCAGTTACTGCTCTGACCCCAAGGGTAACCACCTCCTAACATCATAGATTTAGTTTTGTTTATTTTAGAATTCATGTACATGGAATCACAGAGTATGTACTCTTTTGTCTCTGGCTTTAGCTTACATTATGTGATTCATTCTCATTGCTGTATAGTATCCCATTGTATGAATATACCATAATTTATCCATTTTATTGTTATTGTTTGGTTAGGTTCTAGTTTTGGTTATTATGATACGGATGCCCAAAATTCTAGTACATGCCTTTTGTTAAACGTATGTACTCATTTCTGTTGGCTATTTAAGAGTGGAATCACTTAGGTAAAAGGATTGCATATGTTCACCTTTAGTAGATATTTCCAAAATGCTCTCCCAAATGGTTGAACTACTTAACACTCCTACCAGCAATATAGGAGAGTTTTAGTTGCTCTTCATCAGGGGTTCGCAAACTATGACTTAACTGCCTCTTTCAGTATAGCCCATGAGCTGATAATGGGTTATGCATTTCAAATAGTTGGAAGAAAATACAAAGAATCATATTTTGTCACACAGGAAAACTATATGAAATTTAATTTTCTGTTTCTATAGGTAAAGTTTTATTGGAACATAGTCGTGTTCATTCAGTTGTGTATTGTGTGTGGCTGCTTTTGTACTGCAGTGGCAGAAACTGTATGGCCCATAAAGCCTAATATACTTTCTGTATGGCTGTTGATGGCAAAAGTTTGCTGATGTTGGTCTACATGCTTGCTAGGACTTAGTATTCCTAGTCTTTTTTATTTTAGCCATTCCAGTGGGTCTGTAGTGCTGTTACTTTGTGACTTTATTTGCAGTTAATTATCTGATGCCTAATTGTGTTAACTAGCTTTTGATATAATTTTTTGGCCATTTGGATATATTATGTTTTGCTTATTCAAGGCTTTTTTTGGTCATTTTTTCTGTTAAATTATTTGTTTATTATTGATTTTTAGGAGGTTTAAATTTTTTTATTTTTAATAATGCTGTGGGTACAAGTCCTTTGTGGAGATATTTATATCTGTCTACGTATCTACCTATGGCAGATATTTTCTCCCAGTCTGTGGCTTGCTTTTACATGATCTCAGTGATGTTTTTATGAGTAGAAGCTGTTATTCTTTTAACAAAAGAGAATGAGGATTTCTTTAAAATAATTTTAAAAATTTCAAATTAAAAATGTAGAATTTTATATAGCAAAGACATACATTTGTATTCTAGAGTAGTGTAATATATACTTGTTAAAGGTAACATCATTTTACAATTGCTTTATTATCGAAAAGAAAAATAGAATTTGACCTTAAAATTTGGGTAACCAATTAATTTTTCAGTCATTTAAGAAAATTAATAATTTAAAAAAATTTTCATTAAATTTTCATCATTTTAGATATTAAGGATGAAAGTGAAACAATTTTGAGTCCAGAAGAAGTGGCATCTTTGGAGGAATATATTCCTACTCGACATACAAGTATTACTCTCCTCAAATGTACCTTCACAATTTTCATGGCTGAATTCAACTTGCTGGATCACTTGCTGCCTGTCATTATGGGAGAAAAGGTATATTTTGCGATTTACTACTCATTTTTCCATATATGCATATTTGTTTGTCCTGTGATATTGTAAGAGGAAGGTGATTAAGCAAAAGGATATCTGCTTATATAGTTTTCCATGATGAAGTTAAAACAATGTAACTGTTGTTTCTTAGAAAATAACATACTCTCTCTCTCTCTCTCTCTCTATATATATATATGTAACATATATATATGTATGTATATATGTATGTATATATAAAATATTTTAAAATAAAATAACTTCAAGCTAAGGTATAAAGAAATTGTGAAGAGCATGGGCCTACAAGTCAGACCATATACTAGCTATGACACCTTGCTTTGTATTTCTAAGCCTAATTTTCCTTTTCTGAAAAACAAAGAAAATTATATTTTTCAAGTGGGCTGACAGATTTAGTGAGTTAAGAAGCAACAAGCTCAGATATTCAGAAAGTTTAGTACTTACATAGACAGCAAAAGCAAATCAATAATGGTGTTAGCTTGCTGTGTCCCAAATGACATGTAACACACATGGTAGGGTACGCTGTTGATAAGGATTCAATTCTATACTGCAGCTAAGCAGTCTGTGTAGCCTATAGCTGTACTCTTACGGGTAGTTAGAAAGGCCCTTATCTAACCTGAATGAGGAATGTTGATGAGAAAATGTCTCATAGCAGCCTTCCTCAGGATGAGAGGTGAGTGAGGAATGGTTCTCTAGCAGCTCTTCACAAGACCACCTTTCTTTCCCTGTTTTAAGAGTATTACAGAATGTTCTACCAAGGCTTAGGGCTGCTGTGGTTGAGGCTTGTTTTTGTGGTCTACATGGATTTGTCAGGGTGCTGTCACAGAGCAGTTCCCCTGTAGTACTTAGCTTCTAGAATTATTTTGAGTATTGAGTGAGATAATGCATGTAGACCATTTTGCACATATTAGAGACCCAGTGATTACTACTGTTATTTTTATTTAATGAGGACTTATTAGATGCTTAATATTTGTTTAAGGTCAATATATAGTGTATTGCTTTCTGAGTTTGCCATATACATATAAAGTATCTGTTATCTTTAATTTATTGTTTTTTGGTTATATTTCTTTCAAAGTATAGAAGTAAAAACTATCCTAACCCTAACTGTAAATAAGAACTTATGGAAGTATGGCAGGGAGTTGACTATGATGCACTAGTTTCATTTTGTAAATTTGCTGCCTTATTGGCTACTCATAATTAAGTATTGTGTTGCTGGGTAAAGAGATCACCTGTGGAAAGTTTCAGTGGAGAAGATTAAAATGTCAGTATTAGACATGAACTTTAAAGTACCTATGATTAATAAGTTAAAGAAAGTGGCAAAAAGGTAGAAGATTTCAAAAGAAACCTAAGTCCATAAAACAAGAATCAAATGAAGTTCTGGAACTGAAAACTATGATATGAGTTAAAAGTAAAAGGATGGAAAAAGATACACCATTTAGGTGCTAATCAAAGGAAAGATAATGTGGCTATTTTAAAATCAGCAAATGTAGAGCTTAAGACAAGAGTGTTATTAGAAATAAAAGAGAACCACTTCATAATGATGTAAGTGTCAATTCAGATGAACAACATAGATAATTTTCACAGATGTTATGCTTAATGAAAGTTGGCAGACATGAGTATATGCTATTGGATTGTCGGAAAAGTCATGACGTATTTTTTCTATGTTTTTCATTGCAAAAATGCGTCATGACTTTTCTGACAACCCAATATATGATTCCATTTATCTGAAGTTCAATAACAGAAAACTGCCTATGGTGATTGAAGTGAAAATATTGGCTACCTGTGGTGGGGATTCAATATTGCCTAAGAAAGGACATAAAAAGTCTTCTAAGTTGCTTGAAACATGAGGTGGTTACAGATGTAAAAGTTCGTTGAGATCTACACTTAAGATTTTGTGATTTATTGTATGTTATACCTCAATAATCCAAAATAAATTCACTTAAAGTGATTGCTTAATAAGTAGTGGTTAAAAATTGTGATTAATAATGAGTCAAAAAAACAGGATGTTCAATTTAATCAGTTTTAGGCAGTATTTCTCAATAATGGCACTATTGGTTTTTTTAATTATACAAGTATTATATAGTATATACCACCTTTAACCAATGGCTGCTAAATGCCAGTACTGCTCCCAATTATTGTGACAATGAAAGACAAACAAAACAGTGAAACTGCTCTTCCCATATTTTTTTACATACCTCTGGATAGAAGGTCACACTATTCCTCTTTGAGAACTACAGTTATGGCATTTTAATGGAATTAAGTTAGTTATAGGACAGAAAAGGGTTGCTTGATATTCTGGATATCTTGAAATTTACCTGCATTTATTTGGAAACTTAGAAAGGTTCTGTCTATAACTTGAAAATACTAATAAGCCCATCTTGAGATTCTTAGGACTTTATGAACTTTTAGCTTGTATATTAGTAGATACGATATGAATTATAAATTTTTCTGTTTTGCAAACTTTGCTTATTGCGAGTATCTTTGAAACTGTCTGGAGTAGTCTATTTGGTCCCTTAGTCATCTAAAAATGAATAAAGGAAAAGAAGATAAAAGATGGCTGGCTCTGGCATATATAGGAAATTTATTTGGAATGTTCGAACTTAAGAAAATACCTTCCATGTACTGAGGCATGTAGTGGCACTACTACAGTTGATTGAAAACAGAAAAAGCTTTAGCAGTGACAGTTTTGCAATAAATTTGCATTTTTTGAAATCTGGGGTATACTGAAAAATATGTAGAAGGTGTTTGTATTTGGTTTTGGTAAGGGAATTCCATAGAAGGGTATCATTTCTAGATTGATTTGATTTGTATTTGGTTTTGGTAAGAGAAGCCCATAGAACTGTGTCATTTCTAGATTGATTTGATATCACTGCAAAATGTGCCAGTCTGAAGCTTGTACAGTGGGCATTGCATATCAGTCACTGTTCTCCTGAAATATAAAGTGAACATTATTATTTTCCAGAACTCAAGTAACTTCATGAATACTGCAAACTTCCAATCTCTTCGGCCTTTGCCATCTATTCAGATATTGGTGGACAAAATTAATTTGGAACATTCTGTGCCGATGTATGCTGAACATTTGGTGCATGTGGTCAGCAGCCTTACTCAGCCTTCTGATAATCTGCTTCATTATTGCTATGCACACTGCTACCTTAAGGTATGGAAAGTGAATTTTCTTGTTTATTAGTATCTGATTGGCTTTGGGAGAATTGAATAAATATATATTTTTTTGAGTTGTAATTTCATAGAATTAGTACCCCATAAAGATGAAATTTAAATAAGATATGATAGATACATTCATTATCAATATAATTAAAATGAATAAAAAATAAAAATGTACCTATTTTAAAGATATTTCTTCAATTATTTGGGATTAATACCTTGATGTTTATAAGATAATAATAATTATAATTTTTGAAGATTTTCTGTATCATTGATGATATTTATAAGCAGTGTGAAAGAGGACTGTAGTTTATGAAGATTTTTAAAAAGGCTTATGATTTCTTTGAGGGGAACATTTATGTGAGACAATGTTTTATAAGAAGGATATAACACATTTGTTTTTTAGTCACTTTCATCTTACGTGTATTAATTTCTTGATGTGAAAGGAAAACTTTTTTTTTTTTTTAAGATTTTTTTTTATTGGGTATTGGGGGATGGCAACAGACAAGTTGCTGTCCTTTTGTTGTTCAGTCTAGTTTTGGACGTTGTTTCACTGGCCCAAGTTGGCACCATCATTGCGCTCTTCCCGGGTGAGGCAGATCAGTTGTCGGCTTCTGGACGGCCACTGACGGAGGCTTGAGGGCCGCTCACGCTGGCTGCTGACTACACATGGTAGCTTATGGCAACTCACTGCAGCAGGGGCCGCAGCCAACGCCGTCGCTGGCAACTCATGGCAACCCAGCTCCAGGTTGAGCTGTTGTTCAGCATCTTAGCTGTAGAGGGCAGTGTCACTGGCCCTCACATGTGGGATCCGAACTGGGGCCCTCTGATGCCCTAAGCCAGGTCTTAACCAACGCGCCACTCGGCTGGCCCGGAAAACTTTTTAATTGCTTTAAATCAAGTTATGTAAAGTTAATTATTGGAGGCTTTGCTCAGCTCTTCAGTATCTTTTTTTTGTAAATAAATAATGCATCCCAGTATAAATATGACAAAAAGATTGACTGAAATGTTGATCAATAAGTGCTTTTGCTAAGCAAACACAGATGTATAGTCTAAGTAGACATAGCATATACCTAATCAGATTCTGTTTCATGGACCAAGGGAAACTACAAAAGTTGAATTCAGGAATAAGAACTAAACTTAGCATAATGTGCTCTGGGTCCATCCATGTTGTCGCAAATGGCAAGATTTTGTTGATTTTTATGGCTGACTAATATCCCATTTATATATGTACCACATCTTTGTCCATTTGTCTAACAATGGACACTTAAGTTACTTCCATATGTTGGTTATTGTAAATAATGTTTCAGTGAACGTAGGGATGAATGTATCTTTGCGAACAAACAAAACAGAAACAATTCATAGATACAGATAACAAATTGATGGTTACTAGATGGGAGTGGGGTTGGTGGGATGGGTGAAAAAGGTTTTGAAAGGGATTAAGAAGTACAAATTGCCAGTCATAAAAATAGTCATAGGGATGTACAGTACAACATAGGGAATATAGTCAGTAATATTGTAATGACTATGGTATTTGATGGGCACTAGACTTATCATGGTGATCACTTCGTAGAGTATGTAAATGTGTAATCACTATGTTGCACACCTGAAACTAATATAATGTATGTTAGCTGTAATTGGGAAATAAATTAAAAAAAATTAAAGTGAAAAAAGAGCAAGTCCTAAAAATGCACTAAATTTTATGTAAAGTATTATAAAATTAGAGGACGACAAAAATAGACTTGGTTCACATTTATTGTTTTAAAGTTCTTGAATATTTTCACATTTATAAAGTAAAAAAACCCCACCAAGTTAAAGATATCAGTTTTATGTCACCTCCAAGTATGTTTAAGATGTTAAATTTGACGGATTTCAAACCGCGTAGAGTAGAAGAACATGTTTTTGTAGCTGTCGATGCAAATCCCATTTTTAAGAGGATGGAAGAGACTCCCTCCATTCCTTTGATGGAAAAGCCACAGTATCATGTTGCAAAGAAGAGTGGACACAAGAGAAATGTGACACAAGAGAAGTGTGGTCATAATTGTAATGACCTAGCACAGTGTTTTATGCTATATGAAGAGAAACAGAAGGTTTTCTTGAATGCTAGATATATAGATATATCATACTTATGCTTTTTTATTCATTCCCACAATTAATACACTGAGGTGTATGATTTTTTTTTTTTAGTAGTGGTATAACTTGAATATCAGATTACAATGTTAAGAATATTTGCCTTGTTTTTTTGAAACAGGTATAATTTTAGGCAGTTCACTAATCTTTCCAGGGTATTCTACTTATGTAGGCATCATTAATTTGGTAAATATTAAGTTCTTTCCATACTGCAGACACTCAGCATTAAAGATGAATAAGGCATGCCCCATCCTCAAGGAAACTGGTCATTAAAGCCATCGGTCACCAATATGATTGTCATCCACACTGATATAAAAGTTAATTGGAATAGTTGTTTACAGCTACTATTGTTAATAAGTTAAAATCCCAATTGAATATTTCGGGTAATATAAAAGTTAGTTACAAGGGTGGGTGGAAAAAAAAAAAGTTAGTTACAGTGCCATCCAGATAAAGTTATGTTTTGGGAAAAGGTCTTTTGCTACACATGTTGTCTAAGTTGTCTTTATATTTGGTTAGTTTGATTTCTCTCTCTAATGGATAAAATAAATATTCCAGGAAGCTAGGTGTTGGGCAGAGTGGGAATAGTATTATACATGTGGAAAAACTTTTCATTGGTATTATGCATATTGAATACTTTAAAAAAAAAAAGCCTTGAGTCTTGAATATTGCATTGAATTTTTTATGCTTCTTAAGTGGATTAGTACATTTAAAAACTCAGGATTGGTAGAGTTTTAATTTATATGACTCAAAATACTGATATGGTATAAAGTTTATTAGCAGTTCATGTTACTTGGGGTGATTATTATATATAGCCTATGAGGAAGATTACAAAGTTTAGTTTTCACTATTATAGTGTTAAAATATCAGAGGATTTAAATGTCTATTTCATGTGTACTGAATTTTAGACCCCAAGTAATTTTTAATTAAATACTCAAAGGAAAGCTCAAGTTTTAATTTTGTATACCTAATTTTGACTATATTGACTATATGATGAAATAGTATGTAGTTCCAGTTTTATATAATGAAATTTATTGAGAGAGTTGGCATGGATTTGTGAAGATAACATGCAGATGACACTTTCACATGTCTTATCAAGTCCTCTTTATTTAATGCTAACCCCATCCTTTGAATATATATGGCATGAAGCTAAGACATTCATTACAAAGCATGTGATGTTTGAAACATGCACAAAATAAGTTAAAGTAGCCTATAAACTATAGATTAATAATATAAATTTAAAGCTGCATTACTAGTAGGATCAGCAATGTAGTTGCTTCAGAGAGATCAAGAAGGTTATAGTAGAATCAAAACCCTTTAGATTTTTTTAGATTTGCTAATGTTTGACCTTGATCAAGTAAAAGCTTTTCCTGAGAATTTGGAGGAATATTGCTTTTATACACGGGTGGTGGGTATATAAATTGGTATCATTTTGGAGATCATTATTAGATCCTCAGGATCTAATAAGCTGGAAAACACATCTACCTTGCACCCATCTAGTCCAATTTTCAGTATATATCTCACAGCAGTGCCAGCAAACTTTAAAGGGCAGGGTAGTAAATATTTTAGGCTTTGTTGGACAAGAGGAAAAATTTAGAATATTATGTAGGTACTTAATAAGAGAGAACAAATTTCCATAAATTTTGAATTATTCAAGTTAAAACTACAATACTCTTTTTTTGTAATACAATTTTGCTAATGAGAAGAATGGAATTCTCGTTTTGGAAATAACATTTCACCTTGTTGGGGTACCAACTTAGTATTTCCTGTCATCAAATCGGTTATAAATGTTTATGTGTAAAAATTATTCTTAGCTTGTAGGCAGTACAAAATCAGGCAGTGAGTTTGAATTTGACCTGAGGGCTGTAATTTGCTGACTCCTGCCCCAATGAAATTTTTGCATATGGCGATATGTATCACTAGAGGTCTGTATATGCTCACATGGATAGCTCTCTACAATGCAATTTTTGGTGGGAATACCAGCGAGCATGATGGTATATGTAGCATGATGCCATTTATATAAATTAAGAAAACAAAATAATGCTAAAGATTGTTCATGGATATAAAAAGGTCTGTAAAAGTATAACAAATGGACAGGATACTTCTGAATCCCAGAAAATGGATATAGGTGTGGTTGGATGTGGTTGGGGAGGGGTCATTGGAACTAGTGGAAGGGTCATAGTTAAAGTAGACTTTTGCTATGTTGTAAGTTTTTAAATTTTTTACATAACAACTTGAGATAATTTACATACTATAAATTCACCTTTTATAAAGAATAGAAACAAGTGATTTTTTTTAGTATTTTCAGAGTTAATGCAACCATCGCCACTACTTAATTCCAGAACATTTTCATCACTTGAAAAAGAAACCCTCTACCCATTAACATTCACTCCCTATTTACTCTTCCACTCCTCCCCCTTGTAGCCATTTATCTACTTTCTGTCTCTACATATTGGCCTATACTGGGTATTTCAGGTAAGTGGAATCATATAACATACAGTCTTTTTCTGACTCTTTCTTCTCATTTAGTATAATGTTTCCAAGGTTCTTCCATATTGTAGCATGTATTGGTACATTATTTCTTGTTTTATGGCTGAATAATACTATTTCATTGTATGGATATACCATATTTTGTTTATCTGTTGATAGACATTTGTGTTGTTTCCACTTTTTCGCTTTTATAATATAGCTATGAACATTTCTGTATAGGTTATTTATTTATGTATTTATTTAATTTTATTTGTTTATTAGTTTTCAGGTGTACAAAGCAATGTAATAGTTAGACATTTAAACCTCTCATAAAGTGGTAACCCACCCCTCCAAGCAACTACCCCTCTGACATTTTATATAGCAGTTACAATACTATTG